TAGCAATTATACCTGGTCAAAAGTGCTGTTGTCTTTGGGATCAGCATGGTTGACTTTTTGTTTATAGATACCCGATACGGCGCTTTTAAAAAACTGTCCATCAACGGGAACTGGAGGTCTGACCATTCCGTACTTGTCTACGGGTCGACCCCTGAAAAATTGTCGCCCATTATAAGCCTCACTATTGTATAAGAAATTAATAAATACAATACATATAAGAATATAAGAATTCATTTTTTATGGAAATATTTGTACGTAAAAATATTTCCAAATGAATATATTTCTAAAATGTTAACTTGTTTTATAAACTTTTGTGTCCAATGGTATTATATGAGATATACATCAGAAAATAATCTTGTTTTAAGCAATTGTTTAAAAATTATTTCCTATGAGTTAAGCAATTGTATCGATTGATTAGCGTATTAGTGGTCACAACGCATGCAATGTTCGCGAAGGTATGGGTGACATTGAATGTCATACCCCATACCCACTACAATGTTTATACAGTATGTATTTTAAGTGTATGCGGATTTTAAATATGGTTTATTAGATTATCTCATTAACACGTAAGTACACACTTTTGCAATCATATAGTAAATGTTTAATTATGATACGAATAGTTTTGCTCTTTAAGTGCATTTATTTGCTAATATTGATCTTATTGATAATAAGTTATTGTAAATAGTACAAATACAGTTCAATTTATTTATTTAATTCATATAATATTGGTTCTGGTAGCAAATCTATTAAACTAGATATATCTATATAAATTTGATTAAAATTAATTATTTCAGATTTATATTATAAAATATTCAGGATATACTACTATAGAAAATTAAAACTACTGTATATTCTTGCACGAATTATACTATTTGTAACTTGCAAATATAATTGATTGTAAATAGAGATGTAAGCCCTTGTAAGTTACGTAACTTACACTGTAACTTACGCGTAACTTACGTGTAACTTACAACCAAAAAATAACTTACAAACCCATTACTAGCGACACCTATTGGCAAAATATGTGAAACTCATTCTAATAAACTTCAAAATTTACATAGATTGTCGCTAGTAATGGGTTTGTAAGTTATTTTTTGCTTGTAAGTTACACGTAAGTTACGTAAATCAAATTTATATAGATATATCTAGTTTAATAGATTTGCTACCAGAACCAATATTATATGAATTAATATTTATTTAACATGACATAAACATGATAAATGTTATTGAATAATAGTTATTCTAGTTATTTAGCAAATAAATGCACTTAAAGAGCAAAACTATTCGTATCATAATTAAACATTTACTATATGATTGCAAAAGTGTGAACTTACGTGTTAATGAGATAATCTAATAAACCATATTTAAAATTCGCATACACTTAAAATACATACTGTATAAACAATTGGCAAAATATGTGAAACTCATTCTAATAAACTTCAAAATTTACATAGATTTAATCAATTTTCAAAAATAAGTGAGTTTAGTTAAATTTGTCTATTTAATTAATTATTCTATCACTATTGTATTGTTTTTATGTAAAAATGAATTGTTTTATATTCACTATTTAACAATGTTGGTTAGAAATATTTACATGTGATGAAATAATAACTTACGAAAAATACCGTAAGTTACCGTAAGTTACCGTAAGTTACGTAAGTTACCGAGAGAAAAAATAAATTACATGTAATTTTCATCTCTAAATATAATACATACTTCCATTGCCTCCCTTAGACGTATGATTTAAGGACTTAACCAGGTCAGTGTACTGAACATCATCGCAATCATCGCGTTTAGTGCCTGGATAACCGTGCTGTTTGGCATACCTTTGCAACGGAGTGCCACCACTCGGGTTATTCATTACCCGACAAATACCATCGATGTCCATATTGTGCTGAACGGAACTGGCTATCGATACCAACAAATCGTATATAAAATAAGCGACGTTTAAGGTGTCGGTGCCGTCGAATGTGTCGCACAGTTTGAACATTTGTCGTACTTTTTTCACCCCTTCCGGTGTTTTCAACAATTCATCCAATTCTTGTGAGGCTTCCCTTAAAATAAAATTAAAATTTACTCCCAATTGTAGTCCATTTGCATCCCTTTTCTCCTAAACCCTACCGAATATTCTGTGAGCACTCCGTTCCCAATGAGTCGCTAACGACACCGAAATACTCTTTGAAGTCCACTTCAGCCAACACGGGAGCGCTGGACGCTATGGCACCGACAGCTATGTTGGGGTACTTCTCCCTGAACCAGGCGGCCAATGATCCGGCATAAGAGCCCCCAAACACAACCACTTTGCCTGAAAGTGACAACTTTTTAGTCAAATACTGTANTAATTTTCTATATATTTTAAATAATCTTTCAAATATTAGAAAATATATACTAATAATAAATAATCTTTATATAATATAATCCTACACTTTTGGATTACCTGTTCCAGGTCATTAGTTTCTAAATTATTTTAATTATTGTATAAGGAAAAATTAAAATACAAAAACTGTATATTTTGTTATTTATTAAATATAAATAACATGTTATCACATTTTATTAAAGTTAAACCTTATTGCCAGAATAAATTAGTTAATTTTGCAATCACCAAAAAATTGTTATGCAAAAATAATATAATATTGTTTGTGCGGTTTTGTTAACAAGTACCAGGTATAAATTAAGTTAATAAATTTATTGCTCGATAATTTGCGACTATTTTCCGATACTATTATCCGATTGTATTCTTTGCGATATATTTTTCAGGTTTTCATTCAACTCATTATTATTCAATAAACAGTCAATTGCTGTCATTAGACAACTGCGAGCACTGGTAGGCATCGGTACTGATACCAAACCCATTATCGTGAACCCTCTGTGAGTTATCGTAATAGTTACAAAATACTGGTATAGCTATCATAGGTTTCCCGTAATAAAGGGTTTCCGTAATAGTATTGTCCCATCCATGGGTTGACTTGTATTTGAAACACTGTTTTTGTGACAAACTGTAAATTATATATATTTTTTAACTTTTGGTTTCATCTTTTTATAACTTATTCCAGTTTGTGCCACCCGGATATAATATACACAATCATAATCTGAAGGTTTTTAATTGTATATCCTGATCATCTACTGTTAATAAACATTAGTTTTAATTGCACAATTAATATTTTTACTAAGTTATTAACTAACTTATAATATGTTTAGGTAGTTACTATATTAGTTATTTATAAAAGTTATAATTAAAAATATTGGTTTACTTTATAAATTATAATACTGATATGGATTAATTGAACTAATCAAGGATATTTCTGTATTAATGAATTAGAATAGCTCTAATTGTTGATTAAAATAAGATTAGATTATCTTGGTATTTTTAAAGATATTTATTATACAATATAACCTATGACTATATGGCTAATCACTTGTATGTTTATATTTATATAAAATTTTAAATTATAAAATATTTGAATACTGACCTACACAATTTACTATAACTAAGTGTTATACCTTATTGAGTTGTAATTTTTATATAATAAATATAAATGCAAAATCAAATAATCAAGTTTTTTATTGAGCAAAGTATACTTGCTACTTTTGTAAATAAGATTTTAGTTATGTTTTAGTAATTAATTGTTCAATAATTTGCGGCAATTTTCCGATACTATTATTCGATTGTATTCTTTGCGATATTTTCTTAAGGCTTTCATTCAACTCATTATCATTTAATAACTTCTCAATCGCTGTCAATAACTCAGACTCCGAGCACCGGTAGGCATCCAATCGGATACCAAACCCTTTTTCGTGAACCCTCTGTGCGTTATTGTATTGGTCACCCATTACTGGCATAACTATCATAGGTTTCCCATAATAAAGGGTTTCCGTAATAGTGTTGTTCCCTCCATGGGTTATCACCAAATCAACTACCGGTAGGACTTGTATTTGTGGGACAGACTGCTGGCCCCACATGTTCACCGGTAGGTCAAACCGGTCATGGAGGGGACCTTTGGATACTATGAACCGATGGTTAGATTTCGACATAATATCCA